GCTCGTTCGAGGACGAACGAATGTTTAAGTGTGGGAGGATGTAACGACCCGGCCGGTCGTTTTTGGAATTTACGCCCCGATCCCCTATTAACTGCTTTCCCCAAGTTTATTTCTGCTATTTTGATTTGCCGGGATGTTCGGTCTTGAGTTTCGGAGAGTTTTGGGGCACTTAGTCCCTAAATGAGAGCTTTAGTGTTGGAAAACTGACCACAGTCGGAACAGTGTGAAGACGGCCTCGGAATGGAAATCCGATGGTTCCGTTAGCTCCGTTAGGTGATTTTGGGGTTGGGAGCGTGTTCGAAATTTGTTTTGGAGGTCCGTAGCTAATTTAGGCTTGAAATGCCGAAGTTTGAATTTTTGAAATTTCCGGTCCGATAGTGAGATTTTGATCCGAGGGTCAGAATGGAATTCCGGAAGTTGCAGTAGTTCCGTCATGTCATTTGGGATGTGTGTGCAAAATTTCAGGTAATTCAGACGTGTTTTGGTTAGGTTTTTGATCGAAAGCGTATTTTGAGGGAATTTGAAGTTCTTAGGCTTAAATCCTTGATTAATTCGAGTTTCCGACGTTGTTTTAGGTGGTTTAAGGATTGGTACAAGTTTGAATGATGTTATGGGATGTGTCACAAGGTTTGGTTGAGGCCCCGGGGGCCTCGGGTGTGTTTCGGATGCTCAACGGGACATTTTGAGTGTTTAAAAGTTGCAGAAATGTTCTTCAGATCTGCTGCAGACTTTCCTTCTCCGCGATCGCATCCTTCCCTCCGCGATCGCATAGTGTAATTTCGGAGAGGGGCCAATTCCTTCTACACGATCGCATTATGTGGCTCGCGTTCGCATAGTGCCGCCCTTTCCTTCTTCGCGTTCGCAATCCCATCCCCGCGTTCGCATTGAATAAACTGAGCCAGTGACTCAGTGACCAAGTTCTTCTACGCGATCGCATTGTAGCGTTCGCGAACGCATAGGCTTGCTTCTTCCTCTTTCGCGATCGCATGGCTTGGGCTGCGTTTGCATAGGCTATTTTCTGAGCCTTTAAAATTTACTCTTCGCGATCGCATTCGTCCTCTTGCGATCGCATAGAACAAAATGTCTGGGCAGTTATAAACTTTCAAAAACCGAGGTTTAGCCATTTTTATCAAAACACAAGCTTGGGAGCTCGGATTTGAGGGAGATTTCAAGGGTTTTTCAGGGACAACGATTGGGTAACGATTCTATACTCCTTTTTGCTGATAACCCACTAATCTAATCATGAATTCTTCCTTTAATTTCGGATTTTGAATGAAAAATTGATAAAACTTCATAGACCTAATTATTGAGTTTTGAGTGGGTGTTTGACCTCCGATTTGAGAGATTTTTACATGGTTAGACTCGTGAGAGTACGAGGGTTCTGATTATGTCAATTTCATCCGATTTCGAGACGTTGGTATGAGGGGCATTTTGGTTATTTTACCTAATTTCGCATCTTAGCTTTGAATTTAATCGTAGAATCAGTTGCTTGAGATGTTATTTACGATATGTAATTGAATTGAATAGATTTGGGCCATTTGGAGTCGGATACTCGTGGCAAACGTGAGGTTTCGAGTTGATTTTGGAGCCGGTTCGAGGTAAGTGGCTTGTCTAACCTTGTGTGGGGGACCCTCTCCCCTTAGGATATGATATTTGGTAATTGAATGCCTTGTACGTGAGGTGACGAGCGCGTACTTGAGCTAATTGTTGAAAATCCGGTTTTACTTTAAGTACTTAAAATGAGTTCTTTTCTTACTTGCTTTATTCTACATGCAAATATAGCCTGTGTTAGTTTAGAAAAGTATGATTAGTTGAATTTATTTGCCTATTTGCTTAAACTGCCTTAATTGCATTACGTGAAGCATGTTAGGCTAGAATTTACTGTTTACTCATTACGGACTTAGTATTTATTTTGATGTCCTTTAGCTGTTGTTGTGTGTTTTAAATTGGGACTACGGGACGGTATCCCGGGAGATCCCCCGTGCGTAATTATGGTCTGGATTGAGGTGCGGGATACCAAGAGATCCCTGGCATGTGTATTGAGGATACCAAGAGATCCTCGGGATACCAAGAGATCCCTGGCATATGTATTGAGGATACCAAGAGATCCCTAGAGTGTATATTGAGGATACCAAGAGATCCCGATTATTTATCTTGCTGGGAGGGGTATTTCCTTGTAGTTGTTTTTATCTCTGTTTCCGTTATTGCACTATTATTATACTGTGTAGATCTTTATTATCGATTCTCAGTTTTACTGCTTATTGCCATGTCATTACATTATATATATATATGTTGTGGTATATTATATTATATATATATATATATATATATATATATATAGGGCCCTGACCTTCCTCGTCACTACCCAACCGAGGTTAGGCTTGGCACTTACTGAGTACCGCTGTGGTGTACTCATGCCCTTTCTGCGCATGTTTTTCATGTGCAGATCCAGGTACTGCTGCACAGACTTACCATCCTTGAGGCAAGGAGAGCTTTGGAGACTTCGAGGTATATCTGTCGCGTCCGCAAACCGAAGAGTCTCCATCTTTATTCTATCTTGTAGTATTAGCCCTTCTATCATTTTCTTGATGTAGACATTCCGGAGTTAGAGCATTTTTACTATCTTACTCTTAGCTTGTGTTCCCGTGAGTTTCCGGATTTTGGGATAGCAATGTAGGATGCTGTGATGTGGAGTTGTATATGCCGAGCGGTATCATATATACTGTTTCTCCTTTAAATTGTTCAGTTTTGACTATTATTCTGCAAGTTAGTTATGTTTCCGCAGTGTTAGGCTTGCCTAGTTGTAGAGACTAGGCGCCATCACGACATGTTCACGGTGGGTGAGCTGGGGTCGTGACAGTTTCTCACGATAATGTGAACAATCATACAAAATATAACATTTTTTTTATAGAAGCATGTTTTATTTTCTTTATTTGTTATATATAGTTATGACATCATGAAAATGGTCCATGGTGAAGTAAAAACAACTTGAATTCCTTTGTCAAAAAGTTAGAATTGTTGAGGTAATTGTTTGTTGATCTAAGCGTTAAGTTGTACCTCTCTTCATTTGAGAAATATAGCCTTAGACCGTCCACTCTTTTTAGCTGACAAAGTAGAGTTAATTCAATAAGTTTGTATTTTTAGATAGGCATGTTTGAATAAGAAAGAATTGTTCCACATCTAGAATTTGCAATATAACTGGAAGCATGCTAAGCTAGCTTAAAATATAAGGAGAAATATGAGGTTCATATTCATCGAATAATTTTGATTCACATTAATTGAACTCTTTTGCTATTGTTGGTTTTGAACTTACGTTCTAAGGCGTTTTTAGACCTTATGAAGTAATATTGTGGTTCGTCTAAGAAAATTTGTGTTGGTCTTGACAATAAGATTTTAGGTGTATACAACTCCTTTCATCACTAACAGTTTTCTAATGGATAGTTAGATATAGTAATAATGAGATAACACTTTTTTTTTTCATGGCAATTTTGTATTATGTATGGTGCTTTTGCTCTCTATCTTGAGAATAGATAAGTTTGTTTCCTCATGACTTGAACTTAAGAATATTCAATGCATTTATATGTTCATAACATAATAGTACTTGCATGTTCCGTGTACCAATTTTTCGCGCGGGTACGAATACTAGTTATTAAGAACTGGAGGTGTGTTTTTCTACATACTTTCACTATCAATTTTTCTTTTCTTGCAATTTTTCTTTCTTTCCTTTTTTTTTCTTTTTCTTCACACACTCCATACATTAAAGTTCATTGGCAAGTGACCTTTGATTTCAACTTTTAGCGCACCAACTGGCCCCTCCATGGTTCCACTCAAAAGCTACTCCCAAATATCTAACCTTACTTCTTTTAGCGACTAAGTGTCTTAGGAGGTAAAGGTTCAACAATCTCAAATAAGAAAAAAATAGGGGTATGGCTTGTAATGTGGTTGTCAAAAGAAAGGTCTATAGGCTCAAAGGGGCTAGCAACGGAAAACTTTATTTTTATGTGACAAGCACATCCATGACCAAGCAAGAAACGCCTACGCCATCTCCTAAATTAGCACAACTTACAATTTCGCTTCGATTAACACACGGGGCAAGTTCTAGAGACTAGACTACACAGGATAGCACAAAAGATCACAAATCCTCACACACACATTGCACATGACTCACTCACAATGATTTTGTTCAACTCTCAAGTCAAGCAAGCACATATAATTGAGAAAAATTAAGCGATATTACACTATGTGGCATACAAGTCAAACAACTGAGAAAAGGCGTCACAAAATAGGCTATTTACTTTACTTAGACGTCATAATTCAAACAAAATACACGGGAAGATGAATGTATGTCATAGCCTAATGTGCCAGCATCAACCATGTCAATGAGTAACTCAGAGCAACTCAGTTTCTTCCTAAACTACTCCTAAAAAAATAAAGTACCCGGTTCGAGCTACACCCTTGGAAAAGAACCGGCGCCCAAAGAAACACCAAGGAATACTACCTAACTATCCTAAAAAAAATCTTTTTGGTGTTTTTAATCGTACTTTATCCCTCAAGAAAATTGTCCAAAAGATCCATCGTCGGGAAAAGTCCGAGCTTTTCCTAAATTTTTTTTCGTTTTTTTTAACCTAGATTATGTCTACTGCGAGTTCTAAAAGGAAAACTAATAATATAAAAAAAAACAATTTTTATACAATTACACTTCGGAAAGTAGTTTCCCCACCCCACATTTATATTATGCATAGTCCTCGATGCATGATCGCAGAGAAAAATATTAAACAAGGGTGAGAAATACTCCCTGAGACCCTCTTGGGCCTAGCTAGCACATGATCCTCAATATTAAGAGTCGAGACGACCCCACACTTAAGCTCAAACATGCTCCTCAGCTTCAACTTCGGGTACTCATACTTCCCCTACTCTGCAAGACAAAAACAACACAAAACTTGACACTAAAAAATTTAAAAAAAAATATAGGTTGGGTTTTCTCCCAACAAGCGCCTTATTTATAGTCGTGGCACGACTCTGCTACTCATCTCAGGCTGGCGCTTTCTCTTCTTCTTTCTCCCATGAAGTCTAGCCTTTTTGCACGCTCTCGGAAGGTCTCTTATTTCATCTCTAGCTCTTTTCTCAATCATTTTTACACACTCATCTTGAAACACCACCTCCTCTAACTCAGTTGTCCCATCTGGATCACTATAATTCACATAAGGGCTATGCTCTATCCCCTTGGATTCTACCACAGTAATCATGCACAAGTCCTCATAATGCTTAGGGAGCTTAAGTGCCTTGTACACATTAAAAGTGATTTCCTCATCGTCAACTCTCATCTTCAACTTTCCTTCCCTCACATCAATAATCGATCCACCGGTAGCTAAGAATGATCGCCCCAAAATAATGGGTACTTCCTCATCCGCCTCGTAATCAAGAACAATAAAATCAGCAGGAAGAATAAACTTTCCAACTCGAATTAACACATCCTCAATAATTCCTTCTGGCATAGCTAGTGACCTATCTGCTAACCGTAAAATGATTGTAGTAGGTCTAAGCACCCCCAATCCGAGCTGCTTGAACAAAGAGGATGGCATCAAATTTATACTAGCCCCTAAATCACACAGGGCTCTGACAACTTCTTGTTTTCCAAGAGATAGAGGAATTGTGAAACTCCTGGGATCCTTCAACTTAGGAGGAAGTTTACTCCGAACTCTAGCACTGCACTCTTCAGTAAGTGCAACTGTTTCAAACTCTGTATGTCTTCGCTTGTTTGCCATAATATCTCTAAGATACCTTGCATACTTAGGCACTTCCTGCAAAATTTCCACCAAAGGCAAATTCACACGTACATGGCTCAAAATATCTAAAAGAATTTCTTATACTTAGCATCATCTTTTTGCTTCTGCTAGCCGTTGTGGAAACGGAGGTGGTGGACTTGTCACAATTACTAGATCTGATCCCTTGCTCTCTTTCTCATTCTCCTCAACTGCCTTGGGAACTAATCCTCCTTCAGGACTAGCCATATACTTCTTTTTCTTTGGAACTTCTTCTAATGCTCTTCCATTTCTCAAGGTAACCGCATTGACTGAGCTTTAGGATTGGGCTCAATATCACTTGGAAGAGCTCTAACTGGTCTAGTATTTAGGGCACTGGCAAGTTGTCCTACTTGGTGCTCCAAATTTCTCATTGCTACGGCTTGGGCTTGCTGATCAGCCATCAATTTCTGAGTAAGGTTTTGCTGATCAGCCATCAATTTCTTCATCATTTTCTCAAGGTGGCTTGTTGGACTCGCTTGTTGTTCAGCCTGGGGTGGTCTATATTGTTGTTGAGGTGCTTGAGGTCAGTATTGATTTTGAGTACCTTGGTTTCTACCCCAAGAAAAGTTTGGGTGGTTCCTCTAGTTGGGATTGTAAGTGTCACCATACTGATTTGTTTGGCCTCGATTTGCATTACCCACAAAATATACAGACTCTGGATTTGCTGAGCACAGATTGCTCATGTTACCCTCTCCACATACTTCACAAAACACCTGAACCTGTTGCACTGGTCGAGCTTGTTGCTTGTTAATAACCATGGTCATCTGATTGACTTGGTTGGTTAGTGTAGAAATTTGCGCTGATAATGCCGAGACGACATCTAACTCGAGAACCCCTATAGATTTTTGCACTGTGTGTATGCCCATTTCTCCTTGCCAATCCGGATTGCTTTTGGAGAATTTGTTCAATATTGCATATATCTCGTCAAAGTTTTCTCCAACACTTGACCTCCAGCTGCAGCATCTACCACAATCTTTGTTTCAAGATGTAGACCTTCTACGAAAGTGTGAGCTAATAATTCTCTTGTCTGATTGTGATGAGGACAGTCTCTGATTAGCCCCTTGAACCTCTCCCAAGCCGAGTATAGAGACTCCCCTGCTTTCTGTTTGAAGGCGACTATCACTTCTGATCTTTGCAGTTTTGCCTGAAGGAAAGAACCTTGCCAGAAGTTTCCTTGCCAAATCATTCCATGATGTAATAGAATTAGCTGGTTCTGCCTTCAGCCATCGCTTTGCTTCGCCCAGCAGAGAGAATGGAAAAAGTGTGAGCCTCACATAGTCTGGAGTGACTCGGTTAGTGATATAAGTATCACTAATCTCCAAGAAGTTCAGGATATGTTGTTGTGGATCCTCATGTGGAAGACCCATAAACTGTCCATTCGAATAAAGTAGCTGGATCATGCTCTGTTTCAGTTCAAAGTGCCCGGTGATTCTGGGCTTCACAATGCTGGAGGTAATATTAGCAATGCTGGGCATTGCCACCTCCTGAACAGCCATGTGTTGCTCCTCTGCCATGTTCACAGGAAATTGAACAAGTGCCTGAATATTATTCGTGTCCTTTGCTTCCCTCAACCTCCTATGAATGTTTCTCAAGTTCGGGGTCAAAGCCTTGAAGTCGGTCCTCGCTTCTGACCCTTCGCATTCAATCAAAGTTCCTGAGATCAGAGCAACAATCAAGTAATGTTAGACTTGGCAAAATAAACAATAAAAGCAAAACTCGAAAGTAGTCATTATTCAAGTTCCCGGCAACGGCGCCAAAAAATAGTTGCTCCCAAACGCACACGCAAGTATACGTGGTCGTACAAGTAATAAAATGATAAGTCAAGTGTCGAACCCACAAAGACTTGTATCGACTACCCACTAAAATCACCAAGATTGTTATTCAGTCAAGCCAAAATAAAGTTCAAGAATGTGATTATACTAAACTATAATTCTAATTTATAACTAAATTACCAAGCAGAAAATTGGTTGTTGTGTATTTAGTAGAGAAAAATTCCAGGGTTGTGATCGATTCACCAATCCTATTGTGTTCTAGTTAACTCTTCCTCTCATACAATCCACTCATGGTTGCTAATTAATCGATAATTGATCCCATAGCCTTCTCCCGAAGTACTACTCGCCTATTCAAAATAGATTAACGCCTATATTCCTATGAAATCAATCTATTAAGAATGCATTAAGATTACGATATTCAATTAAGCACGGTGACTAGGTATATTCCTATCCTAACCACAAATCCGCCTCCCCCCCCCCTAAGAGGTAAGATCATGCTCTCTTCAATTCTTCTGTAATCTAAACACGGCTTTCCCAAGTATATATCATAGATAGTAAATAGAACATAACTGCTAGCCAGACAATTAAGCAATTAATCACAGAATTGAAGAAACAACCATATATTAGTGAATTGTAATCAAGGTTAAGTCAACGTTAAACAACAATATTCATGGCTAAATCACAACCCCAAAAATATGGGTTTTAGCCACTCATGATACTAGCAAATAATTTCATACGTGTTGGATAATTGAAAATACTAAGAAAACTGAGATCTCTTCACTCCCGAATGTTTCTCATGTGTATTCTCCCTCAAAAGTGGCGTCTCTCCCTCACAAATAAGTTTAGTCTTGCTTTTATAAATGTTGGGTAGGTCTAGGGCCGAAATAACCGTGTCCCGGGCGAATTTGGACAAGATTCACGATACAGGCGTCCTGCCCAGCGCCAGGCGCCCTCCTTGGGCTGTGGATTTTTTGGCTACCGGTTTTGGCGCCACAGGTAGCTCAGGGCGCTGCCTGTGGCGCTGCAATGTCCAATTTTCCTATTTTCGTCCGTTTTGGCTCTAATTTCGCACAATTCGCTCCCAATTGCTCCCGGATCATTCCTACACATAAAAACACATCAAATTTATATAAATCAACATATTTCACATCTTAAATCCACGAAACAAAAGTAAAATATGAGGCGATATACATATAAATATATATATACTTTAGTCTAAACATCATAACGCCACAGATAAAGTAACAAATCGATGCCAGCCATCCCACAAATAACCAGATTAGAAATACGTGGTACTGCTGAAATTATGGTTTTACCTTTGGTCGTCCAAAAGCTCTTCACTTATTATATATAGTAAAGTAATAAAGTGAAGAGATGGTAGCAGTAGTCGGTCTCAACAGTTACACTGCAATGGCACTTCTTTCTTAATTTGATCTCTTGTTGAATGATGCAATAGAAAAACTAATGAAAAAAATTATATTTTCGGTTCTAAGAGTTGTACGTGCATCCATTTTGTGGTGGAAGCGGTGATGTAACGACCAGCTGGTTGTTTCGAGTATTTTAGCCCTGTTGCCCTTATTTGATGCCTTACTTATGTGTAATTGTAGTTATGTAACTTGCTAGGGTGGTTGGTTTGGTTTCGGGGAAGTTTTGAAGTGAGTTGGGATACTTAGTCCCAAGGTTGGAAGTTTAAGTTGAAAGAGTTCACCGGAGCTTGACTTTTGTATAGAAAACTAAGGAATAAAATTTTAATAGTTCCAATAGTTTCGTATGATAATTTTGGACTTAGACAATGTCCGGATTTGGATTTAGATTTGGATTTGGAGGTCCGTAGGTTGATTTGATGTTTTTTGATGAAAGTTGAAAAGTTGAAGGTTTGGAAGATTGATAGGTTTGATCGAGAGTTGACTTTGTTAATATCGGGTTCGGATTTTTCTTCCGGGAGTTAGAATAGGACAGTTGTGTCATTTGGGACTTGTGTGCTAAATTTGAAGTCATTCCGAGTTGTTTTGATGTGATTGGACATGAGTTTTAGAAGTTGGAATTTCATTAGTTTCATTAGGCTTGAATTGGGGTGAGATTCATGGTTTTGATGTTGTTTGATGTGATTTGAGGCTTCGAGTAGGCTCGTATAATGTTCTAGGACTTGTTGGTATGTTTGGTTGGGGTCCCGAGGGGGCCTCGGGGTGTTTCAGATTGTTGGCGGATAATTTTTAGACTTTGAGGAGCTGCTGAAGTTTTGGAGTTCTACTGCATTCGCACATGCGAGGAAATTGCCGCAGGTGTGAGGCCGTAGAAGCGGCCTGTTGATCGCACAAGCGGAAGGCCGGGAGCTTGGAGGGAGCCGAAGATGCGGCCAATGTTCCGCAGAAGCGGTTAAGTGACTGCATGTGCGGAATTACTGGCAGACTTCATATATTCGAAGGATTTGAGTGTTTTCTTATTTTGGGAGTTTTGGAGCTCGGCTAAGGGCGATCTTTTGGAGACTTTTTGCTGCAATTGAAGAGGTAAGTAAAGTTTAATCACTTTTAATGATAGTATTGATTACCCATTGATTATTACACCTAATTTATGTGAATTTAAGGTTAAAAATGGAAATTTTAGACTATGTTGTTGAAGAGTGAGATTTCATGAATTGAGAGTCGATTTGTGGTTATAATTGGATGAAATTAGTATCTTTGGACTCGTATTTGAATGTGTGTTCAGAATTTATAACTTTCGAGGGGTTTCGGGGTACGAACCCGGGATTGACTTTTTGGATTGACTTTGCATATTTGATTCAAGACCCTAGCTTTATCATTTGGAATAGTTTCTGATGGCTTTTATTGATGAAATTAAGTTGCTATGGCTAGATTCAAGTCGCTCGGAGGCCGATTCGCATGGCAACGACTTTGGAGTATTGATTTCAGCATTTTGAGGTAAGTAACACATCTAAACTTGAATTTGAGTATAAAAATCCCTGGGAACCATTTTATATGAGATGTATTGGGGTGACGCACACAATAGGTGACGGGCGTGTACGCGTGCACCGGAGTATTTATGATCTGAGATAGCTTCTAAGCTACTATAGGATGTATTTTGTTATCATGCCTCATTATATCTGTATTTTTTAAACTTGTACGATTATTTGAGTTCTAATTTTTATCTTAGAAATCAGGTCTAGTCACGCCCCGAACCTGGGGAGGCGTGACTGGCACCCGGTGCCGTAGTGGCCCGAGCGAACCACTCTGTAACTCATTCATTTCTTTTTATAACTACCATGGGCCAATATGGCCACAACTCATAATATAAAATTGTAAGTGGAAAACACTGTATCCCTGAACCATTTTTCTTAAAACATGAATACATATAGGCTGTCAAGGCCTCTGACATACTGTACAAACTGAACCTCTGTCTACGAAGCCTCTAGGATTATTCGACATCAAATGGGACAGGCTACCAGCCTACCCATAAGTCTGTAGAAAAGCTCTGACACGATGGCTCATAGACTCGGCTGCACTCCGAATGAAGTGGAGTCTTACCTATCCTTCGCTGAATGCAAACATCGTCTACTGTGAAGGCTCGTCAAACTGTTTATCTATACCTGCAGGCATGAATGCAGCGTCCCCAACAAAAGGACGTCAGTACGAATAATGTACTGAGTATGTAAGACAGAACTGAAACATAACAATAAGTCAACATTAATTTAAGACATGGAAGAAATATAGAGTAAATGACTCAACCTGTAAGTCTGGATGACTCTGTTAATCATGAAATATTTATAATGTCATGCATATGTGTATAAATGTCATGTAATGCATAGGTCTGTACGTACATAACATCATCAAGCCTCTGAGGGCATCCCATCATATCATTTCAGCCACTGTGGGCAATATCATCATCGTATACCAACTGATCAGGTGGTGGTGCGTATATAACGCCATAACCTTTCTCATATCCCGTATACATATATATACATATATATATATATATACGCGTATATAACGCCGTCTGAGTCATAGGTCAATGTACATGTATAAATGCATGAAATGCATAAGAAATACGTTAATAAGATTTTCTCGGTATGCCATAAACTCAATATGCCTTTCGGATAAACTTTATCAAATACGTATTTTTCTGAGACTCCTGAACAGATGATAGAATAATAAGACTTATGTGAGAATAAGAATATACACATCTCTAGCATTTCTACGAATAGAGTCATGTATGTAAATTGTTGTTGGGTTTTTGTTGTACTTAATTAATATATTAAATACTTAAAAGAGGGTGAATGGGAAATGGAGGAAAATGAAATTTTAAGTGAAATTTTAAGTTTCCCCCCTTGGCAAATGGACAGTGACCCATATTGAAAGAGGAAGAGGTTTTTTATGTGTATATAAGCAATTGCTCTTCTTCTAGCTCTTAAAGAGTTGAGAAGAAGACAAGCCTCGCGCCGTCATCGTCGTCGCTCGCTCAGCTCGGCTTCGGCTTCGGCTTCGGCTACGGCTTCGGATTCGGATTCGAATTTAGTCAAATGATCGATTGATTGATTAACTTTTTGGACCAAATTTATTTGTTAATAGTAAAATATTAACAGAAATGTTATTAAATATTTATTTTAATAACAGAATATTAATATTAAATATTAATATTAAATCTAATCCATTTTTCTGTTTTGGTAACAGAAAAGTAACTACCCTCTTTAATTTTCCCTCTTTATTTTC